GGGCAGTTCCACTCTGTCCTCTAGGGGCGCTGTGGGTTGGAATGGACTCCACGGCAGTGGGTGTGGTTTGGGCTTTCCTTCTGTAAAGATTGACAGCCTTGGAAACCTTTTGGGGCAGTTTCACCTTGTCCTCTAGGGGCGCTGAGACTGGGAATCCATTCCACAGCAGCAGGTTTGGCTTGGACTTTGCTTCCGTAAAGATTGACAGCCTTGGAAACCCTGTGGGGTAGTTCCACTCTGTCCTCTAGGGGCGCTGTGGGTCAGAATCAACTCCAGGTGGTGGGTAGTCTTTGGTTTATTGTATTTATGCCCATTTCCTTACTGTTACCGCCTGATAGCAGGGTCTCCCACCCTAGCCACGTTCCTCAGAATAGCTTCTTCCTACAAAGACCTCCTCCATGACCTCTCATCCCACTGGGAAGCCTTTCCTCGAGACCGGTGTCTAATGCGTGTGCTTCTTGTTCCAGGCGTCACTGTTGTTCAGGGACGTGGCCGTGGTCTTCTCCCAAGAAGAGTGGGAGCAGCTGGCGCCTGCTCAGAGGGCTCTGTACAGAGATGTGACACTGGAGACGTACGGCAACCTGGTCGCAGTGGGTAAGGTGACCTGGCCTGGGTTTGGAGATCACCCTGCTGGGAGGCATCTCTGTTTCTTCCTGGTCCGTTTCTGGGTGGCTCTCAGCTTCCTGGCTAGTTGGTCATATCTGAGTGTGGTTAAAAGGCAGCCCCATCCTGAGTCCTGTGCTCCCTACAAAAAAGAAAAATGAGACCAAAACAAACAAGAAAAACCCCATTGTCATCAGGTCGATTCCGACTCATACAGGCTCAGTCACCTGTGACTTTCAAACACAGAGGAGATGGGGAGGAGGCAGGGACGTTAGATGAATGGAAACAGGACCAAGCGAACGGGACACAATGAGAAGGTCACGCCTGGTAAAGAACGTAACTAAAATCGAGGAACAGCTTGTGTAGAAATTGTCAAATGGGCACCCAAGCTGCTGTCCGACCTTCACGAGAAAATACTCCTTCAGACAGAATGCAGCCCCACGGGGGGAGTGGCGTCTTCCTCAACCCCTTGGGGCTCACGTCCTCCTCTGTGCCTCCTGCAGCTCCCCGTCCCGCTCGACGGCCAGGCCTGTGTCTGAATTCTGGGCCCCCGCCCCGTAACTGGTACCACGTTCTTCTCTCACTTCCAGGTCTTGCCACTTCCAAGCCTGACATGATCTCCTCCCTGGAGCAGGGACAGGAGCCCTGGACGGCGGAGGGGGCGGCGCCAGGAGGCCGGGGCCTTGGTAAGCAGGCGTCTGGGGAGTGGTAGCCTCTGCAGCTAACAGCTTGGGGGCTGTGCGGAAGCAGGGCCTCTGCGGGAGAAGGCATCCCCCTGAGTTGCCGGGTTCAGGGGTCTTCTCCTAGTCACCTTCCTAGCTGGTCAGGAGCACGTGACAGCAGTCACCACTCCTGCCTTCCTGAGGCCTTTGCATGTTTGCGTCATCACTTCCTGTTGGAATCCTCCGGTCTCGCCAGATGCTGCTCAGCCCCGTCTCCTTCTCCGAGTTGTGCAGCTCCCCGAGACACAGACCTGGGCCTCCTCCACTGCATAATGTCCGCCCCCAGGGGACTTCTCCAGCGTTGCTGTCGTTGTAGTTCCTGTCGCGTCGATGCTGGTCCAGGGAGCCCCCACACCACCCTGTGTGCACACAGGAGGACCGCGCCCCACGGGCTTCCCCAGGCTGTGACTTTCAGAAGCAGGTCACCAGGCCTCTGTCCCTCGGTGCCTCTGGGGGGGTTTGAACCGCAACCTTTCCACTAGCAGCCAAGTGCTTACTGTATGTGCCACCCAGGAACAACTCTTCTCCATGAACCTGCTGCCACTGAGTCAGTTCCACCTCACAGTGACCCTGTAAGACACACGAGAACTGCCCCGTAGCGTCTCCAAGGCTGTTCTCTTGACAGAAGTACACTGCCATGTTTTCCCCCACAGAGCAGCTGGCGGGGGCTTGACCCATCGCCCTTCTGGTTAGCACCCGAGCGCTCCGCCACCGTGCCAGCATGCTGTAAACACCGTCTGTCCCTGCACTGTCAGGATGCGGCCTCTAGCCACGCGGGGGCACTGAATTGAAATACGCAGTTGCCATCAGTGGCCCTGGCTCAGGTGCTCATCCAGGTGCTCAGTCGCTGCGCTGTGGCTGCTGTATTGCCTGGCACAGGTGGGCATCGCTGCCATCCAGGGTCCTGCTGGGCGGGGCAGGTTACTGTCTTCACACACGGCCACCAGCCCGGTCAGCTTCTCCACCTGCACACTCAACAGGCGCCTCCAACTTAACAGGTCAGAAAGGGGGTCACTGGTCCCTGGCAAGTCCGCTGCCCCCGCTCTTCCGCATCTTAACAAGTGGGTTTTCTGTAGTCATTCAGGTCAGAACTCGTGAGGCGCCTTGACTTTTCTCTGTCACCCGCACCTGTTCCCCTCTGCCAGCACATGCTGTTCATTCTGCCTCTAAACTTACGTGGCCCTCGACCGCTTCCCCCACCCCACCCCCGCCGTCATCTGCTCCACCATCCCCCTGGCTTGGACCATAGCAATGGCTTCCTCCCACCACCAGCTTCCACTCTTGCCCACGACAATATATTATTCTCCGCGTCACAGTCAGTGATCTTTGGAAACTTAACTGACAGCTAATTACTCCTCAGCTCAGAGGTTGCCAGTGGCTTCTCTCTCAAGACAAGATGCAGAATCCATACTGCGGGGTCTCCGTTCCCTCATGCTGCTGTAACAGATACCACAGGGGGATGGCTTGAAGAAACAGATGCGTTCTCTCAGTTTGGGGGGCTGCAAGTGCAAATCCAGCACCCCAGCTCAGGGGCAGGCTTCCTGTCAGTGTTGGCTCTCGGCCAAGGTCCCTGTCTCCTTCCGCCATCTGTGAGCCTGGCCTCACTGACACGGCTCGGCCTCCGGCTTCCCTGGCTCTAGGAGGTTTTCAGCACAGGGACCTCGGATCCAAAGGCTGTGCCCTGCTCCCGGCTCTTGTTTCCTGGTGGTAGTGGGGCCCTGTCTCTGCTCACTTCTCTCTCCTGTTCTGTCTTGTAAGATACAAGGTGATGCAGGCCACACCCCGGGGAAGTTCCCCTCATGTACGATCAGGGCTGGGACCTGAGCAACCGTATGGCATCCGCCCCCATTCCCTGACACCTGGTGCCTGATCAGCTGCCCAGCCACTCAGCCAGGCCCAGCCAAGGTGACACACAAACAAAACCACCACATGGAGGGTCGACGAAGGAGGGGAAGGCCTTCAACAAGATGGATTGACACAGTGGCTGTGGCGATGGGCTCAAGTACAGACGGGATCGCGGAGTTGGCATGAGACCGGGTGGTGTTTTCGTTCTGCTGTGCATAGGGTTGCTATGAGTCAGAGACGACTCGACAACACCCCAGCAACAACAATCCACACTGAAGGCTGTACTCCTTGATCTTCATCAGTAAGTGCTTCAAGTCATCCTCACTTTCAGCATGCAAAGTTGTGTCGTCAGCATATCGCAGGTTGTTAATGAGTCTTCCTCCAATCTTGATGCCATGTTCTTCTTCACACAGTCCAGCTTCTCAGATTATCTGCTCAGCGTACAGATTGAGTAAGTGTGCTGAAAGGATACAGCCCTGCTGCAGCCTTTCCGCATTTTAAACCATGCAGTGTCCTCTTGTTCTGTTGGAGCAGCAGGCTCCTGGTCAAGGTACCAGTTCCTCACGGGCACAATTCCCTGTTCTGGAATTCCCATTCTTCTCAATGTTATCCATCATTTATTTTGATCCACACGGTCAGATGCTTTTGCACAGACTAACACACAGGGAAACATCTTGCTGGTACTCTCTGGTTTCAGCCACAGTCCATCTGACATCAGCAGTGACATCCTTTGTTCTGTGTCCTCTTGGATTTGTGGCAGATCCCTGTTGACATACTGCTGCGACCATTTTTTAATTCTCTTCAGCAAAATCTTTGTTACATGTGATATTGGTGATGTTGTTTGGTAATTCCCACATTCTGTTGGATCACCATTCTTTGGAATGGGCACAGATACGGATCTCTGCCTGGTAGCTGCCTTGCAAGTTTCTAAGCATAGGCAAGTGACAGCTTCCATCATTCCACATGTTGTTGAAACATCTCAGTTGGTATTCTGTCGATTCCTGGAGCCTTGTTTTTTGGCAGTGCCTTCCATGTGGCTAAATCCTTCTTCTGAGTCTGTCTTGGAAGCTCTGCTGTACCCGCCCACGATGGGGGACCTTGCTGGTATTCGAAATATCGATGGCATAGCCTCCAGCCTCACAGCAACACACAAGCTCCCACTGTACGACACATAGAGACACACAGGTGTGGTCTTGCACTTCAGGGGGCTAAAAGTCCAAGGCCAGGCCGCCGGCTCTTGGGGGCAGGCTTTCTCTGTGTCGGCTCGAAGGCCTTCGTCTGTTTCAGCCTCCCTCTCGGTTCCTCGGGGGGCTTGTGTGGTGTACCGTCCGTCTCCCCCATCTTTCTCTGCGTGCCTCGTTGCCTGCTCAGTCTGGGTTTTTTAAATCTCAAACAGATCTACTTAAGACACACCCTACACAGAGACTGCTTCTTCAGTATGGTGGGTTCAGAAGCTTTGTGGCTGGCCACTCAGGTGAAATGGCTTCTCAGTGCTGTTCTCGTGTCTGTTTCTTGTGTGATGAGCGATCTGGGACACTCTCACGTCTGCGTGAGTAAACCCATTCCCAAACGAGGTTAGAACCACAGGTGCTTAGGATTCGCAACGCATACGTTTGGGATGCAGTTGAATCCATGACGAGGGCCGTGGATGCCCAGGCCTGGCTGACGTGAGCAGTGAGGCTTCCCCTGAGATCCACAGTGGAGACAAGGACAAAGAGAAGCTCCCAGCCTCTGTCGGGTCTTTGGTGACTCAGTTTTCAACACAGGTCGTCTCTGGCTTCCATCAGCGATCTGTTCCGATGACTCCGTCCTAAGTCGGTTCTGACGTAAATCAAATATTCCTATTGTTTGCATTGTTTTTGTTTGTTTGTTTAGTTTTCGTCTTTAGTGCCTCTCATTACCAGCATCTTTATAAATTCAGTCTTTGTCTTCAGGGATCAGCAAGAGAATGGTCATGTTGCAGACCGGGTAAGTGAAATGAGACACAAAGAGACAAACACGCATAGACGATACAAGACTGCAGCCCCGATGGGAGCTGCAACTTCATTTTTATGCACTCCTGAAAAGGGATGAAAGCCAATTCTTTGAGTTCTAAATTGTTCTTTTTGATCTTTTTCCCACACCAGAAATAACAAGGATCTGTGTTTTTACTTCATCAGATTGTTCTCTTCTGAGAACCGTGCATGCACATGTTTCTCTTTATCAGCCCTTCGGTTTGCAGATCCAGCTTCCTGTCTCGTCTGCGAGTTCAGGATTTCAAGAGTTCAATCTGAGTTCAAGATCCTTTAACGCACCCAGTGCTTTCAAATGGGTGCTTCCCCTTGCTGCTTTCTGAGCCAGAGGGGAATATTCCAGCAAGTCCCTACAGATAACATGAGCACATTACACACTGTGACCTTGTATATGGCGCTTATGATGAACGATAAGGTGTAACCAGAAAAAGAAAAAAGGACACTTCTCTTGCGGTTTGTCATAGCTCAGATAGTCAGAAGCCAGGGGCTACCCGGCACAGTGCGAGCAGAAGGCTCCAGGAAGGGTCGGGAAAGCAGGTCCCTCCCTTTGATTAACTCTCCCTTTGAGAATGTTTTTAAATCGTTCATAGTGCCTAATCACTTTTTAAAATTCCATAGTAAAAAATGAAGTTTTGTTATATTTTACCACAGTAAAAGACAACTTTTAAAAAGCCTTAAAAAAAACCACAACAGAACATATCATATGCAAAGGAGGCCACGTGGTGCCAGTGGCTAAATGCTCGGCCGCTGCCAAAAGGTCGCTGGTTTGAACCCCCTCAGTGGCTCGACAGGAGAAAGACTGGTGTTCTGCTTCCATACAGCTTGCAGCCTGGGAAACCCTGCAGGGCACCCCTACGGGGCACTTCTGTTCTCGTGTGTTTTGGTGCCTGGCAGCGTCATACGTGTTTTTCAGTCAGTCAGCTTCAGGCATTTGTGTGCACACCGTGGAGAAGGTCTAGTGCCTTAGCATTAAAGATAACTGTATTACGTACATTGTTACACATACTGATTGCTTTTATTAAAGAAAATGCTGCTGTGTTTTTGGTGAACGTTGACACAGCCCATTAGGTTCCCATTCAGCCATTTCTGTACATGCTGGTCAGATATCGGTTACGTGTTTCACAGCGTGTCAGCATTCTCATTATTTCCGTTCTGGTGGTTCTGTTTCCTTTAATCTAGTTCCCCTGCCTCCCCTTATCGTCTCATCTTTGCTTTAGGGTAAATGTTGACCACTTGGTCTTACATAGTTGATTTTCTTTCAAAGGAGCACAGTACTCATGGGTGGCACTATTTATTTTATTTGTGCTTTAAATGTGAATTTCTGACTCATCCTCAGAAGTGGAAAGGCCGAGGCCAAGGGGGTTAGAACACTTGTGAAGTCCACAGTAGACCATCCCAGCAATGTGAGGGAGTTTTGGTTTCTTGGTTTGTATAAAAATGGCTGTCAGGAGCGTCTGATCTCCTCTAACTTCACAACGCCACATCAGCCCAGGGCTGATTCCTCTCCAACCTTTTGCCAATTCTGACACCAGCTGCCCCTCCCACGGCACTTTCTGCTCTGCTGAGTTTGACAGTTTGTTGCAGTGACCACACAGAACTCACAGACCATACTCACCATTGTGGGGTTTGGGGGACGTAACAAGCTACAGTGCAGGATCAGAAACATGCTCAGGATACAGTTCTTCAGTCAGGACGCCTCTTCTCAGCCTTGCCTACAGGCAGGCCCCGCTCTAGCCCTCGGCCCCTGGGCCTCTTGGGCTGCTGCACAGCTCCGTAGCTGCGCCGGTAAGGGCCCAGAGGCCCCCGCTCGGCCAGCAAGCCGCCTGCCTGCAGCTGCTCAGAGCTCTCGCTCTGTGGCCAGGAAGCCCGCTGCACCCGCCTGCGGCCCGCCCAGCGCTGCTGCCCCTGCTGCCCCTGCTTTTCTGCCCCTGTCCTCGTCTTCTCACCATCTGTGGCGTGACAGCTCTCCGTCTTCTGGTTCTAGGAGGTTCTCACCACAGGGACCCTGGGGTCAAAGAACAGGCTCCCCCCCCTTCTCTTCTTCTTGGTGACAGTCAGGTCCCCCTTTCTGCCTTTGAGATGGCTTATTATAAGCCTAGTGGGATGGCAGAATTTACCAGTCCCCTTGTTAGGGTTCCACTGCCTTTATTTGCATAGCTCTGGTGGCGTAGTGCCTAAGGCACTTGACTGCTAACCAGAAGGTTGGCTGTTCAAACCCACCAGCCACTCCTCGGAAGGAAGATGGGGCAATCCTACTTCCATAGTGATACTGCCTCGGAAACCCAAGGAGGGGTCGCTATGAGTCGGG